TTTTCACTTTAGAGATCCAGCAGGAGATTCCTTCCCATTGAGATCTGATGGGTTTTCAAAGTGTTCTTTTCATTTTTTTGAGCCGTGTATCCTGCCAATTTAAAGTGGTTGAAAACCCTTCCATATACCCAGTGAAGTGACTGGCCTCAGGTGATACACAGAGATCTGTTTATCTGCAGTCTTCTCTACATCCATTCAAAGCCCAGAATGTATCCAGTTTGTCTAAGCTTTCAGAAAGCAAGGGGTGGGAACAGGGGCGGACTGACAACTCATGGGGCCCCCAGGGCAATAGGGGATCATGGCGCCCTTGTGTCCCTGCCCAAACTCAAAAAAAGCCTATGAAAAGGGTACCAGGGGCATCTCATGGGGCCCCCTACTGACCCCGGGCCCTCGGGCAGTGTCCAAGTTTCCAAATGGTCAGTCCGCCCCTGGGTGGGAAGCTGAAATTACACTCTGCAGAGCTCAGTGAAAAGAGCTCTGACAGCTGATTGGAGGGAAGGGACCTCCCCTCCTCCACACAGCGCACAAGAACAGAGCTGTGGCTGTCAATCACAGGTTTTGCGCTGGAGCTCCCTACCTTTTTATTCTTGGTGTCAGGAAAACTTGTCAGAAGTGGCTCATGCAGATTCCAGTGCTCTGGACTGAGACAAGTACACACAATAGAGGGATATGCTTTGTTCATATTTCATGTCTGAGGTTTACAACCCCTTTAAGCTGCAAGTTTAGTTGTGTTTTAAGGAAACTCTTTGGATAAGCAGCTAAACGTCTTCAACATTGCAGAACAATTTCGGCTGAATGTGACTTCTAGCTATACCAGGACCTGGATCAGGGAGAACCTTCATAGACAACATTAGAGTCAGCCTTTGCGTTGGTTCAGCGATCGCTGATGGTAGCTTCAAGCATCTCCCCTCCTTTGAATGATGCCAAATGAACACTTTAGCTGTCGTGACCTAAAATAGATTTTATTTTCCTCTTTCTATAAAACACACTTATTTGAAAAAGTGACAGAAAAAGGGAGGAAGGCTTCAGTATAATAAATAAAATAGATATACACACAGGTGTAGCATCTGCAGCAAGTAGTGTTGTGTCGTGGCGGGTGGGGTGGCTACATTATTAATGAAAGGGTTAAGGTAGGTATTGGATTCTGGTGTTGTTGAGGGACTTATGGAGGGAGAGCGGACAAGGACGGGGGGGGGGGGGGGGGGGGGGGGGGGGGGGGGGTCAACAAAGACTTTACAACTGAGATTGTATCTGCTTATATTTTGCCTTCCCTGGTCACCCCCCCCCCCTTCCCTTCAAAATCAACATGCTAATTCAATTTTGAAATAAAAACGTTCTGATCTGATGGCATACGTTATTTTAGACCCAGTGATCTCATCACTGAGTCTCTGTGCTTCTCTATGCGATGCAGGCAGATCATGGCTGGTGGGAAAGGTCGACAGGGTGCTGTAGTTAGCTTCCTAAAAACGTCACAGCACCCTGCCTCAGTACTCCTCAAAGAGCTCCCAGTCGTGATGCAAGCAGTGGGCTGGTTGTTGGGGGAAGTTATCGCAATGCCTTGTTGGGTTGGTGTCAGTCTGGAAGAGTGGCTTCATTTGCATTCAGAGCTTTCTATGTAAGGCCTACATGTGATGCTGAGCCTCCATGATTGACAGAACTGAAATCCAGGGGCGGGCCAGGGATAAGGCGGGGGAGGAAATTAGAGGGGCCCTATCTGTCTTCAGGCTTGACTTCTGGCTGCAGCTTCTAATGCACAATTGTGAAAAGCTCAGAGCGTGCAGCAGGAGCGACTGACAACTCATGGGGCCCCCGGGCAATAGGGAATCATGGGGCCCCTGTGTCCTTGCCCAAACTCAAAAAAGCCTATGAAAAAGGTACCATGGGCATCTCATGGGGCCCCCTACTGACCCTGGGCCCTCGGGCAGTGCCTGAGTTTCCAAATGGTCAGTCCACCCCTGGTGTGCAGTGAAATCAGAGCAAGTCATGCCAGTACAACAGGGCAAGACCAGGGGCAGACTGTCAACTCATGGGGCCCCTGGGCAATAGGGGATCATGGAGCCCCTGTGTCCTTGCCCAAACTCAAAAAAGCCTATGAAAAAGGTACCAGGGGCATATCATGGGGCCCCCTACTGACCCCGGGCCCTCGGGCAGTGCCGAGTTTCCAAATGGTCAGTCCACCCCTGGGCAAGACTAAGAGGAAGGTCAGATTTAAAGTACACCTGTAGTTACAGAGAAAATAATATACATTGAAGAAGGTGGCTAGAATAGCTAGGCCTTGCCTGGTTTTTCTTTTTATGACGAGGAGTATTTTGGAAAGATGGGCCCATCATCTTCTTAATGTTGAGATATCATGCACATGGCCACTGCTAGGAGCTTAGCATAGACCCACAACCCTAATCTGAATGACATTTAGGACATTTTGTTTGCTAAAACATGTTGTGTTATAAATATTGCCTCTTGCTTCAACTTTTTCAGTGCCGATCTCCTCCAGTCTTCTTCACCCGCTACCTGTCCTCAGGGGTGTATTTACCACAAGGCAAACAAGGCATTTGCCTAGGGCAGCACTTTTCAGGAGGGGCAGCACTGCCCCTTGGAAGAAGGGATGGAAGAAGGGACACACGTGGCATGGGGACCTGGTGGGTTCCGAGAGAGGCTGTGGGTTTCATGACGGTGTATGCACAGCCCGACTCTCATTCCTGGGGATTTGCCAGTCCTGGTTTAAGGGTCCACCACTAAAGATTGATGGTCTCAGCTTAAAGGTCCACCACTACAGATTTCCGGTCCTGGCTTAAAAGTAAATCACTAAAGATCGATGGTCTCAGCTTAAAGGTCCACTACTACAGATTGCCGGTCCTAGCTAAAGGGCTTAATAAAACCAAATTGCCAGTCCTGGCCTAAAGGCCTGCTCTTACAGACTGCTGGTCCCAACCTAAAGTCTTGCAAAGACAAATTTCCAGTCCAGGCTTAAAGCTTTACCATTATACTTTACCATTCTCGACCTAAAGGTCCACTACTATGGATTGCCCATCTTGGTTAAAGGGCTTAACCAAACCAAATTGACAGTCCTTACTTAAAGGTCCACTACTACAGATTGCTGGTCCCAACCCAAAGTCTTACAAAGGCAAATTTCCAGTCCTGGCTTTAAGCTCCACTACTAAACTTGTCAATCCCAACTTAAAGGTCCACTACTACATATTGCTTGTCTCGGCTTAAAGGTCCACTACTACAGATTGCCCTTCTTTGGTTAAAGGGCTTAACCAAGCCAAACTGCCAGTCCTGGCATAAAGGTCCACTACTACAGATTGCTGGTCCCAACTAAAATATTAAAAAGATAAATTGCCCGTCACTGCTTAGAGCTCCACTGCTAAACTTTACCAATCCCGACTTGAAGGTCCACTACTACAGATTGCTAGTCTCAGTTTAAATGTCCACTACTACAGACTGCCACTATGACAGATTGCTGCTCCCAGCTTAAAGGTCCACCACTAAAGACTGCTGGTCTCAGCTTAAAGGTCCACTACTACAGATTGCCTGTCTTGGCTAAAGGGCTTAACAAAGCCTCATTTCCAGTCCTTGCTTAAAGGTCCACTACTACAGATTGCTGGTCCCGACTAAAGTCTTACAAAGACAAATTGTCAGTCACGGCTTAGAGCTCCACTGCTAAACTTTACCAAAATCCCGACTTAAATGTCCACCACTACAGATTGCCAGTCCAGGCTTAAAGGTCCACCACTACAGATTGCTGGTCTTGATTTACAGGTCCACAGCTACAGATTACCCATCTCAGCTAAAGGGCTTAAGAAAGCCAAGTTGCTAGCCCTGGTGCAAAAGGTCCACTAGTACAGATTGATGGTTTTGGCTAAAGGATTTAAAAAAGCCAAATTGCCAGTCCAAGTTGAATGGTCCACTACTACACATTACGGGTCCCGACTTGAAGGTCCACTACTAAAGATTGCCAGTCATGCCTTAACTATCCTCTGAAGGCTGAAGATTAGTAAATGTCGCTGTCTGTCTGGCCTATCAAATCTACGTTCGCCAGTGACAGAGGATAAAAGAATTCTATATTAACCTTTAGCGGAAGCCAAGAATACTAGAAGAATCTATTGAGTGGAAGGAGTTTTTGCTGCTGTTTTGGGGTATCCTGTACCCCCAACTCTCTTCCCCCCGGACGTTAAACCAAAAAAAAAAAAAAGATTCGGTATAAGTCTGTCATTTGGTTGCCACTGGTGACCCAGTGAGTGTTTGGGTGCAACTCTGGGACGAATCATTGGTAGAGAGGTTACGAGGGCCCATAAAAACTTAGCAGCTCCCGAGGGGGTCAGTGCCACATATCAGATTTAAATATTCTTTTTATAACCCTTTGCAGCCATAATCTACTTGCATCACAGAAAGATTCTTGTTGGGGGCTGTTGCCTGTACATGACTCTATACTGTGCAACCTCCCTCTTAGGCTCTGGTGTATGTGTGTGGGTGAAGCTGTAGTATGCTCAGAGCTAGGTTAGGGTTGGAACCAGGGAACAACCTGCCCGGCCCTGTTCCTGGGCTCGAAAGATGAGAATACGGCAATGAAATGTATTTAGCCAGCAGAGAAGGTGCAGAAGATGAACGTACAATGGAGGCAATCAGCAGATGGTGTGTCGTATAGGACTGGAGTGTACCCTCTGAGGATCGAGTATCTCTACGAGGAACTGTCTTTGCTGTCCATAACAACTGGATTCCCAGGTTGTCTTTATAGTGCAGCAAGGGAAGAAAAGATAAAATAGAGGGCTTCTGGTTGCTACATCCAACGAGGAGGACTTCCTGCAGACCCTGGTGAGCGTAAGGCTCAATGTCACCAAACAATCCCTAAAGAATGATGGGAAGGAAACGGGAACACTGACTGGAGCCCTAGGGTGAGCAGGTTGGGGGTCAATGAAGGTACATTTATAGGGATGAATAGGGTGAAGAAGGGGGGAGGGGAGTGGTTATGTCTCTGCTGCATTAAATAGCATTGCAAGTATTCAGTTCCAGATCTTGAGGAAACTGTCCCATGATCCTGTCGCCACAGCCATGCCATCCGAGGTGACACCAAGACAGCTGACGCGATTGTCGTGGCCGGAAAGGACACCTGTGGAAAATCACCACCATTTTAAAAAATGGACATATACATTTCTCCTAACCTAAAAGACATTTTGCAATGTGATTGGGTTTTCAGCTCATCTTCTGGTGTCACCTCCTGGTGCGTTCTCTATGCATTTGGAGAACCTGCTAGAGGGCACCAGTCTGACAACCAGCAAGAACATTGTACTAGTCCTTGATTCTTCGATCACATTGTCCAGTATTTCTCCTAGAACCTCCAACATATAAGCCCAGATGAAAGGGAAGTTGTGAGCCCCCGAAATGCGTTGAATTTATCTATTATTGTTCTATCAAGATTAATAAATCTATACTGCACTTGTCATAAACACGAGGCTCTCTCATTCTGTATGCTTTAAGTTCATAGTAGTACCTCATCGCAGGCTATCCCCTCTCGCCTTGACTATTGTAACTCCCTCCTCATTGGCCGACCTCATCGCAGGGTATCCCCTCTTCAGTCTATTATGAATGCTGCTGCCAGACTCATCCACCTCACTAACCATTCTGCATCTGCCACCCCTGTCTGCCAATCCTTTCACTGGCTTCCACTTAGTGTCCTCCACTCCTCTCTGCCAATCCCTCCACTGGCCTCCACTCAGTGTCCTCCCATCCCTCTCTGCCAATCCCTCCACTGGCCTCCACTCAGTGTCCTCCACCCCTCTCTGCCAATCCCTCCACTGGCCTCCACTCAGTGTCCTCAATCCCTCCACTGGCCTCCACTTTGTGTCCTCCACCCCTCTCTGCCAATCCCTCCACTGGCCTCCACTCAGTGTCCTCCACCCCTCTCTGCCAATCCCTCCACTGGCCTCCACTCAGTGTCCTCCATCCCTCTCTGCCAATCCCTCCACTGGCCCCCATTCAGTATCCTCCATCCCTCTCTGCCAATCCCTCCACTGGCCTCCACTCGGTGTCCTCCATCTCTCTCTGCCAATACCTCTACTGGCCTCCACTCGGTGTCCTCCATCCCTCTGCCAATCCCTCCACTGGCTTCCCATTGCCCAACGGATAAAATTCAAAACATTAACAATCACATATAAAGCCATTTATAACTCCGCCCCAAATTACATCACCAATCTTGTCTCCAAATATCACCCAAACCGTACTCTCCCGCTCCTTGCACGACCTCCTGCTCTCTAGCTTCCTTGTCTCCTCCTCCCATGCTAGTCTCAGGACTTCTCCAGAGCTTCCCCCATCCTCTGGAACTCTCTACCCCAATCTATCAGACTATCGCCTACTCTGCTCACTTTTAGGCGATCTCTGAAAACCTCTCTCTTCAGGGGAGCCTATCCTGCCCTCCGCTAATAATGGAATCTTCTGTTCCTCCTACCAGTCCATCCCCCACAGTTACTACCTTTTGTACCACCAGCCCCTCCCTCTTAGATTGTAAGTTCCAAGGATCAGGGCCCTCCTATCCCTCTTGTATTGAACTGTATTGTTGCTGTATTGTCTCCCGTTATATTGTAAAGTGCTGAGCAAACTGTTGGCGCGATATAAATCCTGTATAATAATAATAACAGTGAAGGCATCAGTCTCCACCATTATATGTTTACTTGTTGGGTTATCCCTGGATGGTATCAGCATTTGACGATGGATCTGACCCCTACCCACTCTATCCAAAACTTAAAAAAAATGCCTTTTTATACACTTTAAGTTTTAATGAAGATCTCCGATCTACTCCACCCCTGATATGAAAAATATAGTCCTTCAACTCACCGACTCTTTCGCATTTTAGCGAGTCCCAGAGGTTGCAGTTGAAATCATCATATCCAGCGAAGAGAATGCGCCCGCTGCGGGAGAACGCCACGGAGGTGATGCCGCAGATGATGCTGTCTTGGGAGTAGACGCTGAGCTCCTGGTCAGCTCGTAGGTCAAACAGGCGGCAGGTGGCGTCATCGGATCCCGTACATATAGCCTGACCACTGGGGAAGAACTGTATACCGAAGGAAAGCAGAGAAGATAAGAATGGGTATACATGTGATAGAACCTTTTCAGCAGTGGCGTCCCAAGGCAGGTGCGGGGGGTGCGCGCCGCACCGGGTGACACCTACCGCACGGGGTGACACCGGAGCTGCTCCACAAAAAGGTAAGTTGTAAAGCAAGCCGACGATCGTCTGCTTTCTTTACAACTTACCTTTTTGTGGAGCGGGTGTGGTGTCACCCCTTATAGGTTGCATGCCGACGAGGATCCAAGAAAAGGTAGGTTGTAAAGAAAGCTGACGATCCCCGCAGGATGTATCGGATCTGTGGATTGGGGAGCATAATGGATCGGAGTCTGATCCATTATGCTCAATCCGCAGATCCGATCCATTCTGCGGGGATCGTCGGAGGGGGTGTCACCAAGTGTCACCGCACCGGGTGACACCTACCCTAGGGGCGCCTCTGCTTCTCAGTACATGGTATACATACCCCAAGCTATTCACCCAGCCACATTCACAATCCTGTAATGGCACATATAGCCATTGACTATAGATTTCTGCTCTTATGCCTCGTTCCCAATTTGCACATTCATCTGATAGTCATTTTTTTTTTTTTGCCTCCAGAATACTCACACAGATGGCATTGATGTCTGACTCGTGACCAGTGAACGTCTGTCTGCATTCGCCTTGTCGGATGTCCCACAGCTTGGCGCTTGCATCGCATGCCCCAGAGATGAAGAGGTTAAAGTCGGGAGACACAGCCAAGCTCATACAGTCACCCGTGTGACCCACAAATACCGTCTTCTGTGCACCCGTCTCGATGTCCCAGAGGGCGCTGGGAAGGGGAAGGGAACTTGTAAGCAAGGTGAAGATGATACATCTTTCAATAAAATCACATTGGACGCTTTTCTCACCAGGTGGTGTCACCGGAGCTGGTCACAATCTGGTTGTCATCGAGGAATCGACAGCAAGAAAGATAACCTGAGGGTCAAAGAGAGAGAGAATTTAAAGTATATCCACTGCCAGAAAAAAAAGTTTATTTTCAAGTCTGGGTTAGTGTGAGGAAGGCTTAGAACCTTTGACTCCACTCCATTGCTCTGTGCTGGCAGAGCTGAGTAACAGCCACACCCCTCATCACAAGTGTCTGCCCACAGACTTCTATTACAGAAGACTTGAGGGGGCATGTCTGATCACATACTTACTGGTCTGAATAATACTGGGGTCTGTTAGAATGACACAATCATATTTAGACACCCTGCAGCAGAATTGCCACTTCCACTCCAGTGCTCTGTGCTGGCAGAGCTGAGTAACAACCACACCCTTCATCATAAGTGTCTGCACACAGACTTCTACTACAGAATACTTGAGGGGGCATGTCTGATCACATACTTACTGTTACTGAATACTAATACTGGTGTCTGTTAGAATGACACAATCATATTTAGACACCATGCAGCAGAATTGCCACTTCCACTCCAGTGCTCTGTGCTGGCAGAGCTGAGTAACAGCCACACCCCTCATTACAAATGTCCTCACACAGACCTCTATAACATAAGACTTGAGGTAACATGTATGATCAGGTATGTTACTGATTACCAATACTGGTGTCTATTAGAATGCACAATTATATTTAGACAACCTGCAACAGAATTGCCACTCCTACTCCAGTGCTGTATGCTGGCAGAGCAGAGTAACAGCCACACCCCTCATCACAAGTGCCCTTGCACAGACTTTTATTGTAAAAGAAGGGAGGGGTGTGTCTGATAAACTATGTTATTGGGTGCTGATTACTTATAATGGTGTACATTGAACTACACAATCATATATAGAAAAAACAGCTGCAACAGAATTTTCACTCCAATGCTCTGTGCTGGCAGAGCTGAGTAACAGGAACAAACCCATCATCACAAATGTCCTCACACAGGCTTGTATTGCAGACAGAGAGGGGACGTGTCTGAGTCCAATTCCTAATAATAGTGGCTATTAGATTACAGAATCATATTTATACCTCCTGCACAACAGTTGCAACAGGATTGTCACTCCCACTCCAGTGCTCTATGCTGGCAGAGCTGAATAGCAGCCACACCCCTCATCACAATTGTACTCACACAGACATGTATTGCACAGAGTGAAGGGACATATCTGATCAGGTATAATGAGTGCTGTTTAATAATAATGTTGAGGCACCCTGCCTCAGTACTCCCCTCAAGAGCCCTCAGTTCTGATGCAAGCAGTGGGCTGGCTTTTGAAAGGAATTATGAAAATATGAAAATGCTTTGGTGGGTGTCAATCTGGAGGAGTGGGAGTTCTTAGACATGCTATATTTGCATACAGACCACCCTAGGGAACACCCACAAAAGATGCTGAGCTTCCATGACTGAAAGAACTGAAATCCAATGAATGAAAGGGGTGGGCCAGGGACAAGGAAAAGCTCTAGATAATGCTGGAATCTGCCATATCTTTTGCAATGACTGGGTCATGTAGAAAGAAAAAACCTGGTTCAGCTTGAGAGATCTCAAAGAAAAAATGGTAAAACTCTATATTACAATTCTGTATTAGCACAATGGGTGAAGCCTGACCTGTATGGGCTGCAAGTTCCCTGCTCACTCTGACGTTTCCTTCACGTGTCTTCAAGTTGTATATGGAACACATGTTGTCCAGTCCACCGCAAGCAACAAAGTTCCCGGAAGGTGCATATAGGAGCAGGTCATCACCCAAGAGGAGCGCAGGGGGATAGCGTGAACCTGGATGGTAAATTGGCACGATATTAGAGCTTGTCTACTGGTATAGGATAACATTAAATCAGTCCTTCTCAGCTAGGGTTCTTCTAAAGGTTGCTGGTTTTCCTTGAGCAGTGAGTAGTGGTGAATTTATTTCGGACTTGACTTTTCTCTTGGCTCCCAGGTAATAAAACACTCATACCCACTCAACACATACCAACAATCATTTTAACTTCTTCACTGACCACCAATGTAAGAAGCATGTCTACCTTGATCACCCATATAAGGAGGCCTTTCTCCACTGATCATCAATGTAAGGGGACTCTTCTCCATTTAACATCAATGTAAGGGAGCCCTTCTCCACTGACCATCAATGTAAGGGGACCCTTCTCCACTGTCCATTAACGTAAGGGGGCCTTCTCCACTGATCACCAATGTAAAGGGGCCCTTCTCAAATGGCTACCAATGTAAGGGGGGCCCTTCTCAAATGACCACCAATGTAAGGTGGCCCTTCTCCATTGACCACCAATGCAAGAGGGTCCTTCCCTATTGACCACCAATGTAAGTGCCATTCTTTCCCCTGATCACCAATGTAAATGAGCCCTATCCCACTGGCTACCAATGTGTCCTACTTCATTGACAAAAAATTTAAGAAGGCCCTTCCCCACTGACCACCAATGTACTGTAAAGGGCAATCTTTTACCTGATGACCAATATAAGAAGGTTATTCTTTGCTGACTGCCAATGTAGAATTCTTTCCTCTAACCATCAGATTAAGTTTGCTCTTCTCCATTGACCACCAATATAAGTGGCATTTTTCCCCTGATGAGCAATCTAAGTGTGCCCTTCTCCACTGATCACCAATGTAAAGTGCAATCTTTGACCTGATGACTAATATAAGAGGGTCATTCTTTGCTGACCACCAATGTAAGCAGAATTATTTCCCCTAACTACCAGATAACATTTGCCCTTCTCCATTAATCACCAGTTCTAATTGTTGGCCTTTCTCCTCCTCCAAACATAGCGTTTGATCCATTGGGCCCAAACAGTTCTAATTTATGTTATTCATCAGTCCACAGAACACTATCCCACAACTTTGTGGTTTGTCCAATATAAGTGACATTCATTCCCCAGATGAGCAATCTAAGTGTGCCCTTTTCCACTGGCCATCAATGTAAGTGGCAACCTTTCCCCTGATCACCAACATAGAGGGGCCCTTCTCCACTGAATACCAATGCAAGGGAGGAGTACTCCGCTGACTTTCAATGTAAGAGGGTCCTTCCCTACTGACCACCAAAGTAAGCAGCATTCTTTCCCCTGATCACCGATGTAAGTGGGTCTTCCTCCACTGTCCACCAATGTAAGGGGCATTCTTTCCCCTGCCCACTAATGTAAGAGGGCACCTCTCCACTGACCATGAATTTAGGAAGGCCCTTCTCCATCCCCACTGACCACCAATGTAAGGGGCATTCTTTCCCCTGCCCACCAATGTAAGAGGGCACCTCTCCACTGACCATGAATTTAGGAAGGCCCTTCTCCATCCCCACTGACCACCAATGTAAAGGGCAATCTTTTACCTGATGACCAATTTAAGAGGGTCATTCTTTGCTGAATTCTTTCCTCTACCCACCAGATGCCCAATTTGTTCTTCTCCATTGACCACCAACATAAGTGGCTTTCTTTCTCCTGATGAGCAGTCTAAGTGTGCCCTTCTCCAATGACCACCAATGTAAGTGGCAACAGACGGCTCCATGTGAGTGCTGGAAATATATAGCCCCTCCACATAGACATCGGTGCCGGCCCGATCCGTGATTGCAGGAACAATGCCAAGAAACAAAGGTTGGCCACACTAGCAACGATGTAGCAGAATAAAAATCTTTATTGGAATCTTCACAAACAGTGTAATAGCATCACAGCTCCAAGAATAGACAGAGAAACTGTAAACGTGTTTCTCAGGAACACATGCTTAGTCATTACACATTACACATACAGTTGCAAGAAAAAGTATGTGAACCCCTTGGGATTACGTGGAGTTTTGCATGAATTGGGCATAAAATGTGCTCTGAACGTCATCTAAGTCACAACAATAGAAGAACACAGTCTGCTGAATATAATACTACACAAACATTAGATGTTGCCATGGTTTAATTGCACATAACATGTAAACATTCACAGTGCAGGGAGGAAAAAGTATGTGAGGCCCTAGCTTATTGACTTCTCCCCGAGCTAATTGGAGCCAGGAGTGAGCCAACCTTGACTCCAATCAGTGTGATGATATTGGATGTGTTGCTGACAGCTGTCCTGTCCTTAAAAAACACACCTGTTTTGGGTTTACTGGTTTCAAGAAGCACTGTCTGATGTGAACCATGCCTCGCAGAAAAGAGCTCTCAGAAGACCTACGATCAAGAATTGTTGACTTGAATGAAGCTGGAAAGGGTTCCAAAAGTATCTCCAAAAGCCTTGATGTTCATGTGTCCACGGTAAGACAGACTGTCTACAAATGGAGAAAGTTTAGCACTGTTGCTACTCTCCCTAGGCGTGGTCATCCTGTAAAAATGACTGCAAGAGCACAGCGCAGAATGCTGCATGAGGTAAAGAAGAATCCCAGAGTGTCAGCTAAAGACCTACAGAAATCTCTGGCACATGCTAACATTTTTGTTGACACATCTACAATAAGGAAAACATTAAACAAGAATGGAGTACATGGGAGGACACCACGGAGGAAGCCATTGCTGTCCAAAAAGAATATTGCAGCACGTTTGAAGTTTGCAAAAGAGCACCTGGATGTTCCACAGCACTACTGGCAAAATATACTGTGGACAGATGAAACCAAGATTGAGTTGTTTGGGAAGAACACACAACACTATGTGTGGAGAAAAAAAAGGCACAGCACACCAACATCAAAACCTCATCCCCACTGTGAAACATGGCGGAGGGAGCATCATGGTTTGGGGCTGCTTTGCTGCCTCAGGGCCTGGACGGATTGTTGTCATTGATGGGAAAATGAATTCCAGAGTTTAAACCATGGCAACATCTAATGTTTGTGTAGTATTATGTTCAGCAGACTGTGTTCTTCTATTGTTGTGACTTAGATGACGTTCAGAGCACATTTTATGCCCAATTCATGCAAAACTCCACATAATCCCAAGGGGTTCACATACTTTTTCTTGCAACTGTACACATTAGTAATGACTAAACACGTGTTTGTGTGAAACGCATTTACTGTTTCTCGTTTCCAGTCTTGGAGCTGTGATGTTCTTATTACACTGTTTGTGAAGATTCCAATAATGGATTTTATTCTGCTACTGCGGCCAACCTTTTTTTTTTGGCAAGTGGCATCCTTTGCCCGGATCACCAATGTAGAGGGGACCCTTCTCCACTGACCACCATTCTAGGGAGGCACCCATTCAGAACAGAGTAACATGGGCTCATGGTAGCCCACCCCTGCAGCAAAGTATACTCATCCATCCATCCATACTTTTTTATAGCATCCTCGCTCCAATAGAGTCTTCAATTCATTTCTCTAACAAGGTAGGGCTTCTGGGTATGGGGGTGGGGGGGTATTGACCTCCCCCATGTGACAGTGTTCATGCCAAAACAGTCAATTGTTAGGCCCCAACACCATTATGTGAGGAGCAGTGACACCATCCATCTAGCATCCATCCAAGTAAGGTACACAGAGAAAAAGAAAACATTCAGTACAGAAAATGACAAAGATGATACGGGGTCAGGAAAAGACTTAATAGCAACAAGCAGTACAAAAGAAAATAACACAGCAATCTCGATCCCACTCTGCAATCTTCAGCCACAGTGCGGATTAATCAATGAGGATAATAATACAGCAGTGTAACAAGGTGCAAGGAAAGTTAAGTATTCTAGTACCTGCAAACGGCATTGAACGAACATTCCTCCCTTATGGATTTGGTCACAGTGTTCATGCAATGCAGGTGAACCAAACCAAGCCTCCCATACTTTTTGAAATTGGTATGCGCATCCCCTATGTTGGCAGTTAAGTTTCTCTCTTTCTAGTAGAGGGTTAACATCAGTTTTCCATTGACTGGTATGGGAGATGTCTAAATTTCGGACTATAAAGAAAATTCTGGCAGTCAATAATGAATGTGGTCTATAATTGAGTTCTTGGGTAGAATGCTTACCATCCCTATCTTGGTATACTGCATATTTATGGTTTGAAAAATAGATTCTCAATGCTTGAAAAGTTTTTGGGCATCTCCAGAACATATGAATATTCCTGAATCCTGGCCACAGTTGGTATAAGCAGGGGAGGTAATACACCCTTGAAATGACTGAAATGTCCTTTGTTGTGTATGGTAAACTGGAGAATGAAAAGCTGAGCGAGCTTATGTGATGGTGACTGGGAGGTAGCTGGTATGTTTTCTGGGGCCATTGCCAATTCCAAGATCTTGTCTCCATCATTCCCCACTTTTTCTTGTAGGCTTTCTTTGGCTGGAACAATGGTCCTCAACTTTATTGAAGGGATAAGGTTTCTGGAGGGAGCTGAGGCAGCTATGGGGGTGAGGTCTCTGTTGGGAGTCTCTACAGAATGTTGGGAGCTTTGTAGGGGCAATGTGAGAGATCAGAAGGCACTGTGGAGGCTGAAGGACAGTGTGGGAGCTTGTTGGGGCAATATGGGGGTCTAGGGGCTCTGCAGCAATCCATACAAAACTGTGGGGAGTACTGTGGGAAGTTAAAAGGCACTGTGGGGGCTGAGGGCTCTTAGGGAACCTGGGAACACAGTTGAGGAGTACTGTAGACCACTATGGGAGGTTGGGTGGCACTATGGGAACTGGGAGACACTATGGGAGGTTAGGGGATCTGCAGCTAGCTAGGTCCCAGAAGCAGAGAGGCAGTGGGCCATGGCCCTGTGGTTGAGAACCACTGGGATAAAGGAGAGCAGGGAATTATATATATATA